CCTGTGGAACACCACATGTTACTTTGTTGTGGGGGGGGGGGGGGGAGTCAATTCCATACAAGGACATACATTGCTTTCTATCCGTAAGATAACTTCTAAACCAATCCAAAGCGACTCCCCTGACACCATAATGACATAATTTACTCAAGAGAATTTCATGGTCTACACTCTACAGTATCAAAGGCTTAGGAAAAGTCTAAGAAATGTACCGATGGTGTGTAAGTGACTATCTAAGGCAAAAGCAAGTTTATCTATAAGATGTAAAATTGCATGTGTTGTTGTTTGCTTTTCCCGAAAACCAAATTGATAATTACTAAAGACAAATGTTTTGTTAAAAATGTTATAGTTCTTAAATAAGTTTTCCAGATCTTTGAAAAACATGATAACCAAGAAATCGGACGATAATTTGTCAATAATTGAGACTCACCATTTTTCAAAGTTGGTACAACTTTTGCAATGTACATGTTTATCGGAACAACTCCGCTTGACATAGACAAATTAAAAATATGAACTAGTGGTTGAAGAATACCGACGACAACTTGCTTAATAAGTTAAATTACCAATATGATCATACCCATGACTTTTCTTGTTCTTGAGGCCTCTTACAATACCAAGCAATTCTTCGTCGCGCGTGGGCACCACAAATAAATTTGGCATGTTAGGTTCTCATAAATAATCTTGAAATCAGTTTGACCGTTTGAAATATTTTTTTTTTCAGATTCGGGCCAGTATTAAAAAAAATATTCATTAAACTTTTCCACTACAATATCTTTATCTCCAACCAGCTGGTCATCTTTATTCAATTGTCTTATACTTGTTACTTTATATGGTGCTCGAAATACATTTCCTATCACCTTCCACGTGCCCTTGATATAATTACAAGTTGCTTGAAACTGTATAAAATAGAATTTTTGTTTGGCTTCACGCAGCACAGAAGTCAGAGTATTTCTGTAAACAGAATATTGCCTTTTTAGAACTTCCGTCCCTACATTCTTATGCTTATATAATTATAAAAGATCATTTGTCTTATTTATGGATTTTAGCATAGCATTGGTGGACGACGGCATATATTTCTACTCTTTATTAATGGAATATTAGCATTGTACACCAATAAAAACCTATTCATGAACATATCGAAGACACCCTCAACACGCTGATTTTAAAGAACATCACCTCTAAACTGATTAATATTTTCAGGAGTGCTTCTTTTAACATAAATGTTTTAGCACAATGACAATAACCTAATACCGTCTACCCCTCACATACACAACGCTACTACATGTAGGAAATGTTATAGCAATATACAATTATAATGAATAAATTACACATATTTGTGCTTAGAAGACGAAAGACTTGATGCATGGCTGATCGGTAACGAAACGGAGTTGGGCCTTTTGTCATCTCTGTTTTTTGCTACGACAGGCAGCCAGTGAAAACGAACTCGTTTAATCAAATTATGGAAATGCAAGCATTACTTAAAAAAAACAGAACTTTGTTATTCCTGGCTCTGGCTCATTTTTCCTGATTGAGGTACGTGTCATATGAAAGGGCAGAAAATAAACTTTCTAGAAATGTGATTTTCTCTTTGAAATTCAGATACCGCCCGCCAAATGACTTTTTGGTTTCCTCTCTTCATGAATGAATAAATTACACATATTTGTGCTTAGAAGACGAAAGACTTGATGCATGGCTGATCGTTAACGAAACGGAGTTGGGCCTTTTGTCATCTCTGTTTTTTGCTACGACAGGCAGCCAGTGAAAACGAACTCGTTTAATCAAATTATGGAAATGCAAGCATTACTTAAAAAAACAGAACTTTTTTATTCCTGGCTCTGGCTCATTTTTCCTGATTGAGGTACGTGTCATATGAAAGGGCAGAAAATAAACTTTCTAGAAATGTGATTTTCTCTTTGAAATTCAGATACCGCCCGCCAAATGACTTTTTGGTTTCCTCTCTTCAAATTGTTTTCAATCTCTCATGCGTGACATATGCATCATATGGGTTGCATCAAATAAAAGAAGAGGATCAAAGCTTTACAAATATGTGCCATTTATTTATTATAATTGCGATTAAGTCATGTTAAAACATCGATAATTCTCGGTTTCGTTTTTTCTGGGACGCACTGTATATACCATATTTCTAACAATAGCGTCTATTTTTTATAGCTAGTTAAAGGACCTGCGGCATGATAAACAAGATTTTATCCAAAATTCCTATCTTTAAATACAATAGGCTATATTCTACATAACTTTTCAAAATGTTATGTGTGGAAGTAATGTTTTTTTTCACTGTTACTCTTGCCAATGATTAGTATCATTTAATTAAGACTTTTTATAAAAGCAATAATCGCTTTCAAAAGCCTGAGAATAACTGAATTAATCCATTGGTGTTAATCTCTGTAAATGAAAATCAAGAGACGAAAATTGCTGAAAAGCATATTGTGTTTCTCAGAAGCTTTCGATTGTCTTAAGCTACAGTCTCATAATCAGCACCCTCTTTTATTTTGTTTGCATACTGCGCAACATTCTGGTTCTCATAAATCAGGTGTGATGACGGTACACATCTTTCCCCTGGTCTTTTCGATGAAGCTGTTGAGGTGATATCCATCTCCTGGTATGTCGTGTCTGCCTCGGGTCTGGGTTGTAGGTCCATGTAAGGATCCGGTTTGTTTTCTTTAGTCCTGGTTGGTACTTTGCGTCTGTTACAGAAAAACAAAATCACTGAATAAATACATATTAATCCATGCACAACCACCACCCTACTCCCAGGTGTTAAATGGGTACCCGGTAAGATGCAAAAGTCATTGTAGTTTCGGTGCTCAGCATCGTGAACGTCTCTATAAAATAGATCCTGTCTGAAATGCTCCCCATGGAGTGGATAAAGTTGATACATTGTTTGTGGGCAAGCCTGAATCATAATACCGGGCTAATATTATATCTGTAAAGAGCTCAGAGACATCGTAGATGTATTTTATACCCCGAATATTATTGATAGTATTATTATTATAAATGTTTTGATTGAACAATTGCAAGAAATAAAGCAGTGTTTTGTCCACAAAATAATACCATATCAAATGTATCAAGCGTTCTAATATGTAAATGTATCATGTTTCCCAATGGATATTTCTTTGAAACCGTTGCCCATAAAGTTTAAATAATTGTTATTCTGTTATGTTCTTCAAGAAATGATTCTGATAATACAGTTTAATCTTGAAAGAAAACGTATTTATTTTCTCACAACTTTATCGATCAAATTAAAGAATCATAGACATTGATATATAAAGTTCTGAGAAGGTAAAAAAAACTCTATTCATAAAGAATAAGCCATATTGTCATTAATTTCATGAAAAAAGGTAAGAAAGAATTACAGGGGTGATAATCAAGTTCCTCCAGCAATTCATGAATTGTATGATGAATAACATCCCGAAACACTAGTCTTGAGCCTAAACTGCATTTGAAAAAAAGGTTGGAATGTTCAAAATCAGCGCTATAAAGTTGAAACAACCCACTAAAAAGTTTTTTTAACATCTGAAAAAAACCCTCAACGGTTGAAGTTTGAGTCTGGTTAAAATGTTGATACCATGTCAACAACCTTATACCAGATGAATATTTAATTGACATTTCTTGTTATAAATAGTAAAGTGATACAACCCTCAAAAACTCATTATTTGTAACGTGCATTCCAGGAAACAGCTCTTTAATGGTAGCACTTTTCTGCAATCGATCATTTCGTCTTTTTATAACTCATAAAAGGTGAAATACAGGGCTAGAATAAATTGCATAGACCTTAAATTACTTGAGCTGAATAAGCAAAAAAGTAATAGCAACTGCAAGCCTAAAAATCAACAAAAGGAATCCATCACCTTTGTGGAATGTGCGAACATCGCAGTTATATGATTTCTTGAAAGTCTTCGCGATCTTGTTAGGAAATTAGATGCGAGATGAGTAAGGGTTTATAGACGTCCAAACTTTCTTTTAGATAATTGGTTTACCTTCTACTCCGTAGTACAATGATGATGATGACAGTAAGCAGTAGAAGAAAGATTAATCCACCTATTGCCCCACCAACGCTGGCGCCAATTGCAGAGGAGCCAGGAGGTGGTGCTATGGATTAAACAATGTGTACAGTCAAAACAGTATATGGTAGAACGTATGGGACATTTGACGAGTAATGATATTTTCTTATGGGAATGCTCGGATAACAAAGACAATAATGATCAAAGAAATCATGATAACGCTAAAAGCTATAATACTAATAATGACAATGGTGATAATGATTATGATAAATATACACTCAGCAACAAAGAAAATGGACATAGTTTTGTTTAAAAGTACAAACAACAATGAAATATAATAACAAGTATATGAAATGAGACAAAAATAACCCTGTACCAACATCAATTAAGATTAAGCTTTTTAACTTTTACTATTGGATGGGCACATGCAATTAACCGTTGGAAGGTCTGGTTAAGAGTATTGCTAGCAAATGGATATTCAGATTTTAATGAACATGGGCATCTGTAAGACATTCTTGCTCAAGAATGAAAGCAAACAATGTTAATCAATAAGGAGGATAGAGCTCTGGATTTCAACTGCATGGTTTTTACAAGCACGTGTATAACATTATGTATACTACTGGACTATACAACAATTGGACTAGGTTTTTACGACGAATGGTCTTGTGACATTACTCTTCGGTAAATGTCCTAAACTATAACTTCAACGCCCGACCAAACACTGCACCCGCTAATCATAACCCGAGACCTAACCTAAAATCCAAATCAACAATGTTTTTGACGGAACATAGCCTAAGGCAAAACCGGATCACACCCTGGGACACTTCGTCATGTTTCACGCAGCGACGGTAGTGAGGAAAATCGTAACGCAAAGTGAATGCATTTTTTTCACTACCGTCAATTCGTGAAAACAGCGACGACTTAATACAACCTATCCTTAATCATATCTTTAAATCTATCATGAAGCCCAATTGCAACCTCAATTCAGATCCTATATTTTCGACGAAATACATTCCGATCGGCGGAGCAAATGGGGAACACCAAGGACTCACCTAGCTTTATGGTTGTAATACTCAGAGCAGGTCCTTTCTCCCCTTCACCGTTAACTCCCTCACGAACTGCTGAAATTTGAATCTCATATGCTTGACCATCATCCAGACCAGTTACGTTGTACATCAGTAGCCCTTCATCTCCTTGTCTTCTCTTCCTTGAAGACGCAATCCCTGATGATTCCATTTCCATCAGAGCACCTGATGAAGCTATGAAGGTGTTTCTTTCGTTCCTATCTGAATCAGTAACGTAGACCTTGTACCCAATGATAGGACCCTCACCAACATCAACGTTACCATTCCAAGAATCCCAAGCAATGATGACATAGTTGAAACCTAGTTCTGCTACCTCAGGCGCCTTATTGAAGACCGGGAGAACTGGAAATAACAAGACAAACGTCAAGGATGCAGTACAAATTAACAGTGTCAATGGAATGGAATTTTAGTGGTTGTAAAGCCCAAATTTCTGATGAAACATGACTCCTGAACTTAACATATGATACCCTGATCGCAAATTAGGTACAACTTCTTTGAATACATATGTATTTTCATTTTCAATTAAAAAAGGTTTTACTCTTTTGTATGGATATAGACTTTTAGAACAACACAGAAGGAAACATTCTTCATGACTTGTCGTCCTTACGTTATCATCACTGACACTAAAATGTAGATGGTACTAGAAAGATGTATTTCGCTTTGTCGTTGGTTTTTAAATGTGTATCTCTTCGGGCAGAAGCCAATATGATCCCCTTTTGATGTCCATATTTCATTTCAAATTTATATGTGAATGTAAATTCATTTAAAGTCACAAGGTAATGAAGATAACATTGGTTTAATTGGAGTTCACCTTTCTCACCAAACATCGGTGTTTTCTTTTCCTTCCACGCATACACACACACGCACACACACGCACACACACACATACTTACATTGGGTGGAAATCGGGGACAGGTGTTTGTGAGCGTCAAGTAACGCCCGGCTGGAATGCTCCCCAGGGAGTGGAGATTGTGCACACAGTGTGTGCGGGCAAGCACTGAATCCAATGACCGGGGTAATAGTATATATTTGTAAAGCGCTTAGAGACATTTGTATTAAGCGCTATATAAAAATTAAATATTATTATTATTATTATTTATTAATTTATACCGTAAAATGGGGACATTATAATAAACGCCCTGACAACAATGACTCGTTGTTATTTATACTTCATTTATTGCCTCCATTCATAAAGTGAACCGAAAGTTTGATAAGGGGATTTATTTTGAAGAGAGTACCTTACATCCCAATTGGGGCCACAAAGAATACACAGGTGTGTCGGTCGTGTGAACGTTTTACCGATAAATAGGGGAAATGTGTATGCATGGACTAGGAGAGAATTTCACATTCCAACTGGGGCTCCAAAGAATACACAGGTGTATCGATCGTGTGAACATGTTACTTATAAATAGAGGACATTTGTATAAGAGAAAATTTCACATTCGAACTGGGGATCACATGAATACGCAGGCATAGCATGTCGGTTGCGTTAGCGTTTCATTATTAAATGGAGAAAACGTTTGGACTGGGAGATATAGACTATTCAACCTGGGGAATACACAGGTGCGTCAGTCATGTGGACGTTAAAGATAAAGACCAGTTCTGGTCATGCGATTGCATTGTGAAAGAAACGTTGTGAAATCGATCAGAAAAGGTTGATCATCTAGCATATATAAGTATTGGTGTGTACTGCAAGGTTCTGGAATCATCAACATGATAAGAAATTTGGCCCAGTCTTGGTAAAGTTACAAGCACTGAACACAGAAAGATGTATATGGGACTACGCGACCACGTGCGCGATATCTATTTGGTCCCAATAGATATAATAATTTACCAAATATATCAATTAGTAGGCGGTTTCCCGGCAAAATTTGTATCATCACGTATTATTCAAAACATATTCTTTCACATGACTGGTAATGAGAGCTTCCATTTCATTTTTTGAGAGAGGGGCGTTTCCAAAACTGTTCTTTACCTTTAAGGAAATGATATAGGCATTAGGAAAGAATTTCACATTTGAACTCATTAGGAGACCATCTCATTTGAGCTCAGCTCACCAGTTCGCCACTTTTCCTGGTTCTACCATGAATCTGATAAGGAGATAAATAGAGCACTGACCACTGATAAAGGAAATATACCAGTAGGGTCAATGGGGTGACAGACAGTGGTTCATCACAGCTAGCTAGTACGTTACTGGGATATCTCGACATGCTCAGTCCAGATTCATAGTCTTATCATTACAGACTACAACTATACTTATACTGGAGTACTGAGACATACAATTCAGTGTGTCTAAAGTCTCACTTGTTATTGTTTTTAGCAAGTACTAGTTAACTTTCTTTTACGTATAGAAGAGAACATTGATGTGCTTTGCAATGGAATGCTACAGGTTGCAATGTACATGCTATTCATTCACTATCATTATACATCATCATCGTCATCATAAATTATCATCAAGGAGTAAGAAACGACCATATCTTAAGGTCCTACTGAATTAAAGTTCATCTCTGGCCTAAGAATATATTCTGATTTTTAATAAAAGCAGGTATTTCTTAGAAACTTACCAACGACCAATAAAAAAAAGTTCGAGGACAATCAGATGACTAATAGAGAAAGTTATGAAAAAGTAGCAATCAAATTGGTACCATGTGGATTCAATTTGTTTCATTGATTTAGTTACCAACAGCAATATAGAGTACAATGAAATAAACACAATTTAAACCATTTCATGACGAAATCGTATAGAGGGAGATAAAAAAAAAAGGAGGGAAATAGAGGGATAGAGAGAAAGCGGGAGAAGAAGTTCGAAGGATATGTGAATAGAAAGCGGTAGAGAGAGAGAGAGAGAGAGGGGGGGGGGAGAAAACAAAAGTAGAAGAGAGAATGATATACCTTTCAAATCAAAAGTTATTTCCCGGAGAAATTCTTGTTTTGAAAGGGGATGGAGAAACTTTATCGGGAGAAAGGCAGAAAACTTATTCGGAGAACTCCTCCAACTCTGGACTGTACAAAGATAATTCCGGAGAAACTGTTGATGTGAACGCTAGACGGAGAAGGTATTCGGATAAACATTAGTCAATGCAATGATCATTTTCGCCCATCACAGAGATTGAGAGAGAAACATATAAAGAAATATATGAGAAATGAGAACCGGAAAGATAGATACAAACCCTGGGGATACAACAAATAAAGAATAACATAAAGACATCTCCTGACGACGGATAATCAACCTATTCGAAACGTCGAGCCCCCCCCCCCCCCTCCGGCGCTAAAGTTATCTGTTTTAGAACTACGGGAACAAGAAAGATAACCAACAGTCCTTTTCAGGACAACACACACTCAAGAAAGATTATCACCAGTCCTTTCCAGGACTCCCCAATCTCCCCGCTCCCACATGTTGTAACCGTAAATCTACTGTATAACATAAAGAAAGTTATAACAAAATGATGAAAGGAGGTTTAAAACAAAAAAATAAAATAAGGAAAGATGGAAATGGAAGAAAAAAGAAGGTTTAAAAGAAGGGAATAATTTATATTTACAACATCTTGCCTACCTCAAATATAATTAAAGGTCAAATCAACAAAGTTCATATTTTCCCGGTTCTTCATTATGTGTAGCCATACACATGCATAGGCATGTATCAAACGAAATAATTACTAGGCAAGCTTGCCTAGTACCGCTTTGATCAAACGACATGGCGAACTTTTAAGAACACTAAAATTGGTAAAAACACTTTTAAAAAACGACCGCTCAGAGTGCCGCATTCACGATACTTCATTGTGGAGAGGTGTTCCAAATTTGGTGGTGGAGTAACGTCTTTAACAGAGGCTGTATTTGTCAAGGACAACATCACAATATACGTTCGTAATGCAGACATGCATGTATTTGCTTATTTATAAATCATTATCAAAAGTATCAAGCCTAATAATGCGCTAAGAATCATAAACAGGCAACCCAGACCAGGCGCGGATCCAGCATTTTAAGGGGGGGGGGGGTGGCAAATTTGAAATCATGCGAGTCAAAATTGGTACGTAATGGTGACCAGTGGCGTATCTGGCACTTGGTCTCGTTTGGGGGGGGGGGGGGGGGGGCAAAATCATATCCCACGCCTGTCATATCGAACCATAACATCGACATCTGGTTTAGAACGTGGGAAGGGGAGGGCTTTCACCAGGCTTTCACTCCCGCCGGAAGAACATTCTGAGATTTTTAAGTCCATACAAAGCATTACAAGCCATAATGGCCAAAGTTTCTAAATTCCGAAAGAAAATGTATAGGGCTCCTTCTTCATGTTTTGTTCGGTAATGAATAAGGTTTCTGTGTGTGTCATCATGGTCATGTACGCTAACTCCCTCGAAACCCACCCTAAACACTGAGTTTTGTGAATCCTTATCAGCATACGTCGGCTCTTGCAAGAGCCGTATAGGGCTCATTATTCCTCGGCGATCATATCAAATAGTTATTTATCTGAGAAGGCTAGATACTGTAAACCAATAACCATTTTTAATACAATCAATAACCATTTTCAATAGAATCAGCCTAAATATTTTATGCGTGAAAACCAGTCATTGTCGTACGTGATAATAAAGATGTCGGACTCGGTATTAAGTTCCAAGGAGTAGACTTTATCGACCTGTAATATGATAACTATAATGTGATTACAAGTTGTGTTTTATACCCTTCAGAACCAGAGTGAAAAGGTTGTTTTACTTATATCACTTTTACAGATTTATACGTAGCAGGTTCTTTGAAACAAACACGCCAATAAAGACAGCTTGTAGTTTTTGTACTATTAAAGTTGTATAGGCGGATACTCGATCCACCCTCTCATACAAAATATAGCCTGCAAAGAACAACAACATGAAAATGGAAAGACACCTCAGGCCTTGGCCTGAGACACCTACGTTCGTTTCGTGAGAGGCTGAAGTATCCGGGCCAGCTATTAATACTATTTTATTGAGTAAGTTTTGAAGAAGAACAAAAACAAGTACTCACTCTCAAATCGTGTTGGTTATTGGGGAATTTGGAATGTCATCAAATATGTTTTTTTCTTCTTTTAAGACAATAATTGTTTTGCCACTCAGGCCTGACTAAATGTATATAGGCCTACGTTCTCGTAAGGCAACCGACAAGTTATTTTGTCATATAACTGATTAACATTTGAAGATTTCCTACACTAGTGCCTGGCCGTGTGTGTCCCATATTATTTTGATCATGTTTAGAAAGGTTGTGGTTGACATGATTAAAAACAAAACTGGTCGGCTTGGACATATCTGTATTACTGTATAAAAGGTTAAGCAAAAATAAACGAGTATTCGAGTATTCGACAAGCAGTCAACACA